TCCGCAGGATCGTCTCAGCAACGGAAGCGATAAACGCCTCGGGGAAACCCGAAGCCTTAAGCCGGGAAACTTGAGCTTTGAAGCTCGCAGAGATATTGTGGGCGCACGACCCATTTAAGGCATTCTCAAGGCAGGTTCGTGGTATGCTTTGCTTAACTAACTTGCTGTGAGCGGAAGAAAAGGGAAGTAGAGGTTTCTGCGCACGTGGTTCATGCTGTGGCTCCGTGGTTCGTCGACGCGCTGTACCCAGCACCTGCACCACTTTGTTATGTTTAAGGAATGGGTTTATTCCACTGTGACGTGCTGGTAGACTCGAAGGTGTCGTGCAACGGATGCCCATCTCGCTAGTCGAACGTCCTGTTATCTAATCTTTCTGTTCCTCGCTACCCAGAGGCTTGTACCCAAATGACATATGCAATATTCATATTGCATATGTCATATTGCATACTCTTGCAATATATATATATATATATATATATATATATATATATATATATATATATAAGGGAAAAACGTGTATACATAAGGGCATAAGGGCTCGTTATTCCGTGTTTTGACACAATATTAATAAGATCTAACAGACAGTAATGCCAAGGAATGTATAAGGGAAGTTAGAACCAATGGAATGTAAATAGGAAAAAAGAAAAGTGGGTGAAAAAATAACCAGCCGTGATCAGGAAGGTGTATATATATTGCAAGCGTATGCGTTAAACGCTGGTGATGTCAGTTCTTTTCTTAACGTTCACGTGTTAAACCGTGAAAAGTTTACTTGCTGAATTCACAGAAGCGAAGCCGAAACTGCGGCAAGCATTTTGAGTGTGACGCTTGACCGAAAAAAAAAACAGCCAGCGGAATCTCGAGCTACGATGCTCTAGTAATAACAATTGCTAGAGCTTTACGTGCCTGCTACGAGGTGCGGCATATGGACACGATTAGCGCGTTATGGGCGTCGAGGAGAATGCCCAAAATATCGGCCACCTGGGCTTGGTGGAGGCTCATTTATGCGTAAGGACTCGCATTCATATCTAAGTGCACTCGAAGATTTCGCCCCCTGCAAAAATTCTAGAGCCGCGGCCACGATCGAACCCTTGTCGTTCGAGTCAGCAGCCGTAGCACCGTTACCAAAGGCAACGATTTTCTAAAGAAAAGCAAGCTTTCGTGCTAGTCGAACCTGGGCCGGAGCAACCATGCCTGATTTGGCCAGTAACTCATCCCACCCATATATCACCTTAGGCGGGATGAGATAAGATGGGTATTATCAAGATACTATGGCGAAAGATGCGACGGTGTTGTAGAGCGTGTTTTTCTTCACGGAGAAGCATGATGGCGAGCTGAAGTGAAAACCTAATCTTCGTAATAGAGAGCAATTCACAGGTTTCTGGCTAGTTTTCTCAGATGACCTGTGTATGTTTCGAAAAATAAGACGTACTTTCGGGAGTTCCCTTTGTTTAAAGTCGTCGTGGGAACAGAATGTCAAGTTCCGATGTTAACAATGCTGCATTTGCTAACTGTGGTACAGTTTAAAGAGCTTGCCCATCTAAGAACGTTTGGAGTTTGTGTCTCTACAATTTTCTATTGCTGGAAAAAGAGCCTATCTCATTGAAGATGTGAGGGCTTCCAGCAGTGGCCGCTAGGAGCGCTGATCGTCTTGTCCCGCAAAGCTGGATATGACGCGTACGTGGCACCTGGTGGCCTTTTAGTGAAAATGTTGAAGTAAACCCGAACCGTCATTTAACATAACATGCTCAATGAAGCTTTAGAATACCTTTAAACGACTTAGACTTGTGTAATATGTTTATGAAGATATATTTATGACGAGTGGGCTGATGCCGTGAATTAAAAATCGCCACTTTCGGTTTCGGATGCACAAAGATGTGTTTGAAAAATCGATCGGTACATTTGAATAATAATCTTCAATGAAGAGGAATCTTCGAAATGTGAGATTTAAAAAAAATAATTTTTTTTCAGAAAATTCGCTTTTGAAGGAATTAAGAGGTCGCTATAAAAACATAACACGTAATGTTTTCTTTCTCTGAGACTGCCTAAAAGAACATCACCCTGCGCCCAGTGTTATTCTGAATAAAATTTCTGTGGGGCCTTGCTGGCACATAGCATTTAAGTTGGCAACTTGAGCGCGAATCAAGACTGACCACACATAAAAGAGAGGAGCGATATGGCCCTTCGAAGTGAACAGTGCAAACGCGCCAATGGGTTTCTCGTCTACTCTTTGTGGTCCGTCTTGGTACGCCGACTTTCGGAGCAGTTTCTAGGAAAGCAGATAAATATTTGAATATTGTGGCAATCGAAATAACCTCTTCATTTTAGCTACTTTCTCTTTTTTTCAGTTTCAATAGGTTTACACATTAGTTTCACCGTTTCCCATTGCTGTCGTTATGAAGTCGCAAAATAAAAAAAATTAGACGACGAAAACCACCGGGCAAAAATAAGTGAAATGAAAGAGCGTCAACTAGCAACTAAAGAAGGTTTTGCAACTTGAAAAAGGCATAACCGACATCATATCAATGTAGTTTTTCAGTACATTGCTAACTATCAGCCATCTGCAATCTTTGAAGGAAAAAAAAAATACAGTCGTGCAATGTCAAACCAATGGCAGGACTATATATACTATGTGTACCGCAATGCGGTTTACCAGATCCCCGAAACGACTGCGCATGTGGGGAGTGCAGCATGCAGTCATGTTTCACATGGCATGCATATCAAGATTATCATGTTTGCACGTATCATTTACCTTCGTCGTCCATTAACGCCACGGAATACCAAAGTTGGTATACATGACGCTAGTGAAACGGCCGCGAGCACATCATGAGCGTAACATGCAGTCATGTTTTACATGGCACGGATGTCATTATTATTATGTTTGCACTAGTCATATACCTTCGTCAACAATTCACGCCCCGTAATACTAAGTCTGGTATATGCGAAGCAACGGAAACGACTCCGAGCGCATCATGAGCGTGGCATGTAGTCAAGCTGTTACATGACGCGTATGTCATGATTACGACGTTAGGGTCTGTCACTTGTGTTCGCCAGGCAGCAAAGTCATACCACACCAGTTTTGCAACTTGTCATGTGAACGAAACCACCACAAGAGCAACAAGACTATGAAATGTAAATCGTAAAGGCTATGAAATGTAAAAGTCGTAGGCGGCTAAATAGATAGATAGATAGATAGATAGATAGATAGATAGATAGATAGATAGATAGATAGATAGATAGATAGATAGATAGATAGATAGATAGATAGATAGATAGATAGATAGATAGATAGATAAAGTCAATCTCGCCGAAGTTCGCTGAAAATGCTTCGCTCTTAAAAAGACGAGGGCAAGACAGGGAACAGCACTTCTCGTCTTCTCCGCGTCTTTTTTTGCGCTTCATTTACGCCGTTATGATCGAGCCTCTCCGTTTTGCTTCAATAAACGTGAGTTGCAAGTTGCCGCTCCTTCCATTCGCTTACTCGCACCCAGTGGTTTGCGTTGCCTAATTTTCTTGCAGTATGAACCGACTCGTCCAAACCAAGGTTTTGTTGCATAAAGTCGTGTCGGGCTTCTCCTTTGGTCGTTGTTGCAAATCGTCGAAATGTCAGTGCCCATTTCACGAACAGACTGGTTTTGTCGGTTGGCTGCTGTCACACTCCGACAACTTGCGCGCGCCATTGTCGGCCTCTCAGCCAGTCGGACGTGCTCACATTTCTATTTCCACTTGCGAAGTATTTTGTTTGTACATTCCGACACATACGGCTCAGCTCACGCTTTGATTCCCGTTCACAGCTAGCGGCCGCATTTCAGTGGGGCTGAAATGCAAAAACACACGCTTGCTGCGGTCAGCGCTTATTAGCTATGCTTTATTTTTAGTCTCAATGCTTTCTTTTTTAAAGCTCCGTGTGGACTTACCATAAAGATAATGTTCTTGACCTTTGTGGGCGACAGGGTGGGGACATGATCACCTGAACCCGGCACATCATGATCGCGTCATAGTTTCCGGCACGGAGAGCTCCCCAATTTATTATACTGCTTATTTTACTTGCTGTAACAAGTTTTCCTCTTTGTCGTTGTTAAACGCAATGGACGCCCACAAAAAAAAAAAAAAAAAAACGCCAGAAAAGAACACGCTTGAATTGATCGAGATAACTTACCAATTGGGTGAGACTTGGTGTGGCATTTCGCCCCGGCATGGTCGTCTAGTGGCTAAGCTATTCGGCTGCTGACCCATAGGTCGCGGGATCTAATCCCAGCTGCTGCGGCTGCAGTTTTGATGGAGGTGAAAATTCTGTCGGCTCGTATGTTCAGATTTGGGTGCACGGTAAAGAACCCCAGCTGGTAGAAATTTCTGGAGCCCTCCACTACGGCGTGTCTGATACTCATATGGTGCTTTTAGGGCCGTAAACCCCACATATCAATCAATCAATTGGCGTGGCATTGCCATTTTTGTTTGCTCGGTTTAAGTGAAAATGCATCACGTTAGGCACAAGTATATCATGACTTCTTTCATTAAATGACGTTGTGAGGTCAAATGCGATATTCCAGCAGTTATTTGCTGCGGGGAGCGAAATGAATTAAAAAAAAAAACGCTTTTTGTGATGCCAAGCGACGGTGTAACAACGATTCGGCAGAATGACGTCACTCTGGTGTGGCGTAAAACTCTTTGCTGTCGTAAGTGTGACAAGCACGGTGAAAGCGTTTTTCCCGCGGGAACATTCTTCGTCACCGAGTTGTGCGAACAAATTGAAGTACCTTCCGTACGCTCGGGGGTGGGGGAGGGGATCACCTTTCGATGGCCAACAATCATAGCAGCGCGCGTTGAAGTGCAGCGCAGGATATTTCCGAAGACAAGTCGACTGACCGAGATGTTAGTACTGGGCACGACAGTCCGGGTGCGCGCGCGGAGCATCGGCGGCAAGGGGGTTCCTTGGAGGGGGGGCAGTGGCCGCGTATAAGAGGGCAAGAGGAAGGACCTCAAGTGCTCGTGCGGACCGGTGCGCAGTTGGCAGCAGCCATGCGGCGATCGCAGCTCGCCGCTCTCCTCTGTGTCCTGGCGACGGCGGCGCACGGTGAGTGCGAGCGCGAGTAGCCGCTTCCCCGCTTTGCCCGTTGGACGGTCGGGCCCGTCAACCGCGGCGCGCCGCACTCGAACGTGCTCGAAGGCCTCGACGCGGCCGCAGGTTTGACAGGTTCGACGACAGTCCATCTTACGTCGTGAGACCTTTTCACGTTACAGCATAGTTAATTTAGGAAGCAAAGAAAAAATAGGAGAGGTTATGATAAGATATATGCACAACTCTTCCCGACAATGGAATAGAATGGTGGGCTGCTATGCAAAGCGCAGTGAGCATTCCCTTTCGGTTTTTGTTACGACTTAGAAAGCCTCTCCCTCCGACAGCTGTTTGTCTCGTACGAAACAAATTGACAATCGGTGCGTAGCGGGACTGATTTGGCTGGATGTTATTTTTGCAGTTGACTCTGAATTAATTTGGCTGCACCATGCGTAGTAAGTCAGCGCGGTCCGCCTCGATAGCAACACAGAGAACATTATTACTAGAGGTGTAGGTACTATTGCTGCTGACGGCCGCAGTGGATTTGGCGCACAAATTGCTGCGTGTTCAACATTTGCGGCGAACTTCACGATGGAGCAGAGAAGGTGATACCACGTGTAAAGGTGCCACCTGGCACCTTTGTCAAATGGTGACGACGGTCGCAGTGTATTTTCCTGCAGAGAGCATACAGGAAGGCACCACGTCAAAGACGCCGTTTATGGAGCTCAGCTTCTCTTCCGAGCGTCTTCCGCGGTCGTTTTGCTTCTCGAGCCCAGAACGTGCAGATAAACACTGTGGTGCCAATCACAAGATTAGATGCATAATAAAGATGCAGAAATGTTGCGTAATTTTCCCGAAGCGCACAAAAAAAAAAGATACTGAAGCTAAAATAGTGCAACACCGTCTGACAGACGCACCCGTTCCTATTGGGTGCATAGTGAAAGTAAGGACTTTTTCTACCGTAAAGCGGTGAAAACAAATGTATATTTCGCTTACAATGAACGCTCGCTACCGATTGGGCAAACGCCAAATACAGGGCGATATCACTTAAGGATGTGCATTCAATACCAAGCCATACATTTTCCATGACTATGTGGACACGCTGCCGTAACGTTTTGGACCAAGTAGATTGTGTGAACCTTCACGTTGCATGCCTCCTTCTTGCTCAGGCTACGAGTAGCACTGGCGAATACTCGTTGATGCGCACTTAATGCACGGTGGCCACTGCAGGCACGTCGTATGTATGTTGGGCGTCCTAATTGACTTTCGCTGCTTATATATATATTGAAAATGACAAGTGGTGGTTATGTTCTAATATCATCCCTTCGGAGTTTATTGCACGGGTGAAATTATGCCTCTCCCTCTTCGTATGTGTCTTCTGGGGTCCCACAAGGGAGCGTTCTAGGCCCATTACTTTTGCTTATCTACATCAACGATCTTCCATCTAACATATCATCAAATATCAGAATCTTCGCGGATGACAGCATAATCTACATACCCATAAACTGTCCAAACGACCACCGCATCCTTCAAAATGATCTGAAAACTAACACTAGCTGGTGTAACACTTGGCTTATGGCACTAAATACCAATAAATGCAAAGTTATTTGTTTTGGACGAAAACATACCATCTCAGACTTTTCACACCACTTACAAGATGACATACTTTCGCGGGCATCTTCCTACAAATATCTGGGCGTCCACCTTGCACCAGGACTTTCCTGGCCAAAACACGTCACTTCTGTTTTCTCTAACACCTCCAAAACATTAGGGTATTTACGCCGAAACCTCCGACATTGTTCAAGTAACGTTCGCAAACTGTCTTACCTTACTTTCCTCCGACCGCAGCTTGAATATGCTTCATCTGTTTGGTCCCCTTCTGCTCAGTATCAAACTAACACGCTGGAAGCAATTCAAAACAGAGCCGCTCGTTAAATTTCAAGGAACTAGGACATTCAGTGTGTCTCAGATTAAACTTGATCATTCCCTCCAAGCATTGCACGTTCGCCGTCACGTGTACTGGTTATGCCTATTTCATAAGTACGTGTATAGTAACAAAACATCGTCATTGCACCGTCAACGTCCCCTCTACACGTCACACAGTACCACACCATAATCATCTGAGCCTGCACAATCGTCATAATATTCTCACATACTCATCTTACACATAATCATGTCACATAATCATCTGAGCCTCACGCGCATGTTTGGTAACACAAACACGTTTAACACATCACGACTACGGCAAGCCATCCGCATGTGGATTGATTTTACCGACAATATCGCCTCTGATAGCCATTCTAACACGTTTAGGGAAAAGAAACTTGATATGCATTTTTTTAAAGGGTTACTGACACATAATTTCCTGGCCGAGATAGCCTGCGGGATCAATTCTCGTGAACATTCGTATATAATCTGCAAGATATCAACAGCGAATATAGCATGGACGGTATTTTAAGTTAATTTCGAAGTTTGCGTGAGCGACCAACTCCGTAGCGCTATAGACACCCTCAGAGGTGACCCCCTACTTCCCTCGCGTCACCACGCTGTGGTCAACAAAACAAATTATGATGACGTTATAGCCGCCATTTTTCTTTTGCCGCGTTAGTTTCGAAGTCTATATTTCCCGGCGGCTGGTTGCGAGTACGTGGCCGTGGCACACGCTTAGAAAGTTGTGTTTGGCAACATTTCAGTGCCGTTTCCTATTCGAAATTAATTCTTGGTGTGGATCATGAGGAAATGCGTCACAGTTCTGTGTGCTGACGTGGTCAAGGGTTGCACACGCTAGGGGGCGACAATCGCACCAGTTTTTGGAACTCTCTCACACCAAAACTGAAACTGATAGATAATAAGGGGCCTGTAATTAATTATCTATCGCGTGCTGCAGCAAAGAATGTGTCGCGTCATGACTAACAGCACTACAGCAACGCATTGCAGCAGAAAAACGTGAGGCGAAATTTTTTTGTGTCAGTACCCCTTGATAATAGCATCGTGAGGTTGTTTTGTTTGTTTAACTTTCGAGCTATTTTATGTTGCGAAATGTTGGCCTTCATTTTCAACAGCAAGTTGTAATCTCTTGTTTTAAGTGGTGCTGAATTGCCACATTATGCTGCTATCATAACCTGTATTGTATAGTTGTTCCTTACAAGTTTACCTCCGCATTCACTGTAACCCCCTTCCTAAATGCCTTCGGGTCTGTAAGGTATTTTTGAATGAATAAATAAATACGTCTCAATTAACGCAATTTCACACATATAAAATGAAGTATTGTTAAAAAATGGCCGGTAAATATGGTGCATATTGTCTAAAAACTGAAGGACTGTCGTCTGCTGAGAGCAGTTGATAAGACGAGTTCAAGTTGAATAGACGGACGTTATAGACGGAACAGCGCAACGTCGCGAGCACTGCGAAAAGCCATTGTTTTGGTCTCTTGTTTTTCATTTATCGCCGAAATGGCGTCTATACAGGGCTTTGTTTCTGTTGTGTATTTCGGTATAGAACGTCTGTATATCGTGCGGTAGTATCTCGAGGAGAGTATTTCAGTGCCTGATGTTTCCAGTACTCTGTTGATGAGTCCAACGAGGGCTTTATTTTCGAAGAGAAACCACTTTTAGATACGTTCAATGTGCAATCAATGAGAAAAGTGCTCTTAGTGAAGCACTGCATGCAAAATTGTCACGCATCATGAATAGGTCATATAGGCTCCCAAGTGATTGCATAGCGAATCGCCGAAAAAATGTTTTACGATGTGAATGACGGAAGACTCTAACATCAGTGGAATCGATCAAGTTAACCACCAGAGAGCGGTGGCAAGAAAAAATCAAAAGCTACCTAAAATGATATTTGGTTTTCACAAAACCTCAGGACTGTCTCAAAACGTTCGATAAAGGAGTAGAGATGACATTGGCCTACCCATACCGCGTCTCGTTGAAATTTCCGTCACGCTTTATTCATTGTGTGGCAGTGCGAAAACGGCGTATGTACGTATTTTACATGAGCTGACAAGTCATTCGACTTAGATTTTGACTATTTACTTGCAAATTTACAGTTATGCATAAACTAAGCGTTCACAAGATTGGTCCGTAATGAAATGATGTTTATTGATGCATTTATTAAACGTAATATTTTGGCGAATTCCCATGGAGAAGGAACCGTAGCAGAAAACGAAATCTACTAGCCATTAAGGAATATCAAATATTCGCATAAATTTGAATATGCGAAAGCTTTCTTGCGTTTCGAGCTACGACACCATTTACTCTGACCACGATGTCACTCATTAAATGATCTTCAGGTGCGCGAAGCAGTGATAGTTAGAATTCTTCGGCATGCCGTGGGAATGCCTCAGGGATCTAATCCCGGTTTTTGCTGGATATGTACTATCGGTTGCAAAAGTTTGCGAAATCAGCAGCGCGTAGCGGAGCGGCGGAAAACTGCATTGCTGCGCAGCCTACTGTAATGCGGCATGATGTTGAGAACATAGGCCACGGCTTCCGAGATTAGATCTGGAGCGGCGGATTATCCAAACGCGCCGTTACTAATCGCTGAGGTGGCGTATGATAGCCTCAACACCAAACCGCGGCACGGTAGACGTTGCAGCAATGCACTTTTACTTAAAGCTGCTTGATCTTGAGAAAGTAGCGCCATCCACTGTACTCGCCGCCGCGAGCTCGACCTCCCCTCTCCCTCCTCGTTCCCTTCGCGTCCTCCCGGTCTCCGGCACTTTTTCTGCACGATGATTGGTCTCCTTCGCGGTTGCCCTTAGAGACGCGTGGATCTTGCGCTTTGCTTGTGTTTTTCTTTTGCGCTCGCGCCATTTTTTGCCGATGCTCCGCGTAACAAACGTAGCGCGCGCTTTGTTTTCTGTGCTTTGTGCGGGTGCTATGCAGTGCTGTTGCGTCTATGACTGCAACAACCACAGTGAAAATAGTTACGCACTTTTAATGATACCTCAAGGTGAAAACGATGGGTGGCGCAAGCAGCAGTGGCTGCGCAACATCGGCCGAAAAAGCTTCGTTGCG